GAGAGCTAGCTCTAATGGAGAGTGCTGGTCAGAGAGCTAGCTCTAATGGAGAGTGCTGGACAGAGATCTAGCTCTAATGGAGAGTGCTGGTCAGAGAGCTAGCTCTAATGGAGAGTGCTGAACTGAGAGCTAGCTCTAATGGAGAGTGCTGGTCAGAGAGCTAGCTCTAATGGAGAGTGCTGGACAGAGATCTAGCTCTAATGGAGAGTGCTGGTCAGAGAGCTAGCTCTAATGGAGAGTGCTGGACAGAGATCTAGCTCTAATGGAGAGTGCTGGTCAGAGAGCTAGCTCTAATGGAGAGTGCTGGACAGAGATCTAGCTCTAATGGAGAGTGCTGGACAGAGAGCTAGCTCTAATGGAGAGTGCTGGACAGAGAGCTAGCTCTAATGGAGAGTGCTGGACAGAGAGCTAGCTCTAATGGAGAGTGCTGGACAGAGAGCTAGCTCTAATGGAGAGTGCTGGACAGAGAGCTAACTCTAATGGAGAGTGCTGGACAGAGAGCTAGCTCTAATGGAGAGTGCTGGACAGAGAGCTAGCTCTACTGGAGAGTGCTGGACAGAGAGCTAGCTCTAATGGAGAGTGCTGGACAGAGAGCTAGCTCTAATGGAGAGTGCTGGACAGAGAGCTAGCTCTACTGGAGAGTGCTGGACTGAGAGCTAACTCTAATGGAGAGTGCTGGACAGAGAGCTAGCTCTAATGAAAAGCGCTTAACAGAGAGCTAGCTCTACTGAAGAGCACTAGACAGAGAGCTAGTTCTAATGAACAGCGCTGGACAGAGAGCTAGCTCTAATGAAGAGCTCTGGACAGAGATCTAGCTCTAATACAAAGGGGCAAGAGTGGGCGGGAATTAGCTATTTTACGGAGAACTTGAATGAGTGTTAGACGTATATATATACAATAGATAGACGTATATATATATATACAATAGATAGTCCTTGTTATAGGAGCTACCATCTTCTTGAGATGATTTCGGGGCTTTTTTTTAGTGTCCCCGCGGCCCGGTCCTCGACCAGGCCTCCACCCCCTGGAAGCAGCCCGTGACAGCTGACTAACACCCAGGTACCTATTTTACTGCTAGGTAACAGGGGCATAGGGTGAAAGAAACTCTGCCCAATGTTTCTCGCCGGCGCCTGGGATCGAACCCAGGACCACAGGATCACAAGTCCAGCGTGCTGTCCGCTCGGCCGACCGGCTCCCTGCACCATAGTTGCTAATGCAGTACCAAGTCCAGCCCGTCTTCACAACATCTCCCCAACGTCCAGAAACTGTCGTACTAAAGTGACCTCATCCTAACCGAACAGAGGACCCAAAACAGAAAACGGGATTGAATGTCAATTTCGCGAGCCACTAACATTGTTCTAGTTCGACGACTTTTGCTTTCAAGTTGCGTATACGTCAGAAAAGCGACGTTCCATTAGGAGGACGTGGCCCTGGGTGTGGCACTGGGTGTGGCTCTGGGTGTGGCCCTGGGTGTGGCCCTGGGTGTGGCCCTGGGTGTGGCCCTGGGTGTGGCCCTGGGTGTGGCCCTGGGTGTGGCCCTGGGTGTGGCACTGAGGGCTACACCTATGACACACACACCCCGTCCCCACATAGCCCCCGGGGCTCTGATAACCCTTATCTCCATGAATCAGTTTTCGGGGGATGATAATGCTTTTTCACAGGCACAAGAATTATTTCCCGGCACAAGAATTATTTCCCGGGACAAGAATTATTTCCCGAGCGATATGCCGGCGCCGGCAGGTGAAGGGGAAATAAGAGAGGGGCAGAAAAGGGTCTGTGAGAAGGGAGGGAGAGGGGGGGGGGAGAGAAAGGGGGGAGGGGGTTGAGAAGGCAGGAGGGTGTGTAATTTTTTGTTTTTTTAATAATTTTTCACTTTCAATTCACTCTTCAACACCATTTGTCCATTTGTTTCCCTTCTTCTTTCTCCCATTGTCCTAGTTTCTTTATTTTTCTCTCTTGCTATTTCTCTCTCTGTTGCATCTCTTTCTTCTCTTCTCAGCTTTTCTTCTATTTGCCTTGTTATTGCTTTACTATCGTTTCTTGTTCTATCTTTTCACCTCTGTCATTTATCCCCTTATTTTGCTCCTTCCCTATCTCTCTTTACCCTTCTAAAGTCACATTTTGCTCTCCTATCCTTCTATCTCCATTTCCCATCTCTCTCTCTCTTCCTTATTTTTCTCTCCCTCTATCTTCTTTTATACATTCTTCTTTATCCCTTTATCTCCTTCTTTTCTCCATATTCCTCCCTTATTTCCCTCTCTCTCTCTCTCTCCATTACACATTCCCTTATTTCTCTTCCTCTTATACCTCACTTATACCTCACTTATACCCCACTTATATCCCACCTATACCCGCACTTATACCCCCTCTTATACCCTCCACTTATACCCCCTCTTATACCTCACTTATACCTCACTTATACCCCACTTATACCCCACCTATACCCGCACTTATACCCACACTCCCTACACGCTGCGGGTGATATTTAAGAGTACTCCCACCCAACACATTGAACAGATAACCCGGAAAGTTTTGCATCGTAACAGTGTTTGTGCTTCTCGTTAGTCAATGATTGCCAAACTGTGCTTGCTTGCCTTGTTTGAACGGCCAACACGCACAACTTATTGGATCAGGCCCCCCTCTTTCTCTCTCTCTCTCTCTCTCTTTCTGTTATGTGTGTGTGTGTGTGTGTGTGTGTGTGTGTGTGTGTGTGTGTGTGTTATTCCTATTCTCTTTCAAGTGTCGAAAGGCCCCCTCCTCCCTCGGCCTTTCCTTATGCTTCAATCCTCACAGCTCTGGTACAGTCGCATTGTACACTTTTGCCCCATTTCTAGTATCTTTACGTGAAATATGTTCCCTAGCTGGGGTGGCATGCTTCATAAAGGGACCTCTGAAAGATTTTCTAAATGTTCATTATATGCCTGAAAATATTCATACATTTTTTCTGGGTTGGTGTCTATTAGCCATCTCCCAGCATATCCTTATTGCTCGAAAATGTCTTGATGCAAATCACGTGTCGTATCAGCTTCGAATAATTCTGAGAGGGATGAATGTATGAACTTTCTCATTCAGATCATTTACATACACCCAGATCGTGTGAGATAATGAGAAATATTGAGTCTTCACATTTGTTTCCCACCCTCTCTCCCTTCTTAGCACATTCTTTGTCCTATTTTTCTACCTTTCTCACCTTCAGTTCTCCCTTTTCCTTCCTTATATCTCTCTATCCCTCCTTCTTTATTTTTGTTAATGCTAAATCTTACGTTAACATTGTGACTTCAATATTAATTCGACAACTCACCATGCTAAAGGAAGTAAGATCATTATCTTATCTAAGTTAGTGCCCCACAATCCGAACTTAATTACGCTTCCTCTCCAGACATACAAGTTTGATAGCGGAGCCCAACCCTCCAGACCTTAGTGGAGTTGTGTCGAAATTAGGTTCCGGAAACTTGCTGAAAGTTTGGCAAGAATTAAGTGTAACTGCGTCTTTCATCTGTATATTGTCGACAGGAACAGCACGTGGGCTGTTTGGTTATCCGAGAGAGAGAGAGAGAGAGAGAGAGAGAGAGAGAGAGAGAGAGAGAGAGAGAGAGAGAGAGAGAGAGAGAGAGAGAGAGAGAGAGAGAGAGAGAGAGACAGACAGACAGACAGACAGACAGACAGAGAGGTGTTATGGGAAGGGATACCTCTCAGCCTACTAACAAGGCTGTTAGTAGACTGAGAGCTATCAGCAGTCGTCTATTCCTATACTCACCAGAGTAAAAAAAAAAAAAAAAAAAGAGTTCAAATCACAAGTCAAACATGTCAAATTTCGTAGATCAAAAAATCATCATTTATCAGGTGAAAGATGTCATACCGTGAACCATATCCTGCTTTTCACGAGCGATGAATGCGTTGAAAGGTTCGTCAACACTCCAATTAACAGCCATAACCAGGTGTCGGCGCCAGGCACCTGCTCTGTTAAGCTTTCAGTAGTTGAAGGTCTGAAGAAAAGTCCTTCAATTAGTTCCTGGAAGGCAAATCACTTTGTCTTAAAATTGGTTGGCTCTGTTCAATTTCTTTTTCTTACCTATATTTGCTTTAGGCATTTATTCCCCCCTTGTCTTTCTCTGTTTACGTTTCTTAGTGTTTTTTATATTTTATTTCATGTTTTATATTGTTTACTTTTACCTTACCTGTGTTTACCTCACTTTTTCTCATCACACTTCCCTCCCCTCACACCTCACTTTCACGTCATGTCACCTCACTTAATTCTCTCACCTCATCCCTCACTCATCACCTCCTCACCACAAAATGCTATTGTCCAGCTTTAATAAATGATAGTGATTGTTATTGTCTCTTCACCGCATGTAAATTAGGATAGGTTAGGTTCTATCCGTCGTGACGTAGAGGATAGGCAGGCACTGGAGCCAGTGGTGTAGGGAGGATGACTGTAGCTGGACAGAAGGACTGCAGGCCCACGATTCGTTAAATTGATATAATAAGTATCTTTATCTAATTAGATCATAGCCTAAGGGGGACACATTCCTGGAGTGTATTGATGCGAAGGTTTACCTGCCTTGAATGTCACTTGAAGACCAGTGGTGTGTGATATGATTTAGAGATGAAACGTTTATTTTTCAGTGTTCTTTCTATAATATTTGTCAGTGTTATTTTCTTACGGTAAGCCTGTCTGTCCTGGTCATAAGATTCTGGGTTCATTGAAATATTTTTATGTCCTTATTACAAGTGTAAATAATATGTTGCAATTGTCTTTTCGTAAGTTTTATTTCATCTATAGGTGACGTGTCCACTTACTCCTCGATCAACAAGCTCTGTGATGGTCAGGATTATTCCTAAACCGGATTTACTTAATGGTTGAGATTAAATTTATATGTAGGACCACCAGTCTTTGGACGAATCCAAATTAAGAAAGATTTAGCACTCTTAGTATACTCAAGTTTATAATAACTTTTTTTGAAGATTAAGATGTTTTGAAATTGTGTTTAAAGAGATGTTTGTTTCTCCTCTATGGCGTGGACAGAGCCGACCTGCATGGATATCGCCCTGTTCGACTTCAAGGTCAGGTTGGTCTATATCATGTTACTGTGTATCCTGCTGGGGCTGGTCGTGCCCTTCATCCTGGCCTCCTACGCCTTCCACCAGCCCGTCAACAACATGCGAGGAACCTGTGCCTTGAACGTGTCATACAGGTGAGAATAGGCAGGAGTCGAAGCTGTGGTTTGGTGGAAGTGACAACGGTTAAAGTGTAGTAACATGTATATTCCGTTCAGGGGAGGAGTGGGAGTGTTATTGGGTGGAGCGATGTTTGCTTTACAGATAAGAATGATTAGGTGTGGCAGGTTGCATATTACGTCGTGAAGGTAAGACTAATTACGCTGGATTAACACGTGTGTAACACAGGAACTAAATAGAACAGGTGAGTTTAGACAGGTAGTCTATAACTTGTGTGTGTAAGTTACTATGATACACATAGCTGACCATGGCTAGATGTGAGACATCTCAGAGAGGTTATATTGGACAAAATAAGCAATTGCAACGGTTGTTTACCTGTACATAGGTCCACCAGAAAGCTACATGTCCTAAATATTGGCCTGCTTTACGTGAGTGATAACCTCATCTCATACGTTCTTGCAACAACATTTTGAAGCAGGTTTTGGGCTTTGAGATACGAGCTTCAAAACATAACCAATTTATTATAAGATTCATATTGCTTAGCATTGAGAAAAGGTTGCTTGTAAGAGGAAAAGCAATAGAGAATCTAGAATCTCCACCTTAGAGTAAAACACGTCTCAGTGATTCCTAGACACTTTGTAATACGAAGCATCTAAGAGGTGACCGAAACCTTATACTTATTGAAGTGTTTGAGACAAGATACTCAAGACTTTGTCAATGACAACCCCATTTTTTTTATTATTATTTTCTACCACAAACGTGGCCACACATTTACAATGCTAACCAGCATATATACATTTTCTTCTGTCCTCCATGGACAGGGTTAGAGATGTGTTAAACATATAGTTCAAGGGTTTCTTGAACAATCAACCACAGAAGGTGATTCTGTGCTTTTAAAATGCTAAGCTAACCTACATGCGTAAATACATCGATACACAGAGTTACGTATGCCCTACATAAAGTGTTCGATGTGTCTTTTACATAGTGTCATTAATGTGCATTTACAAAGGTGAACAACCCCATTATCAGACCTGAGTCACATAAACAGGATGAGACGCCGTTGCCAATCTTAACTAGTCATCTAGGTAAGATAACTATCTTACCTAGCGTGATAACGGTTGTTATCACGCATGGTTAGCGTGATAACTATTACGCTAACCATGAAGACCACCACACCACAACACATTTACTAATAAATTACATCTCATACACATGGAACCGGTTACAGTACCCGGTCTCAGGCCTAATAACCTAACCGGTTCCAGGACTTGGCCCTGGAGCTAAGTTCCAACATGATGAGAGACGAGTACCAGCATCCCACGGTGAGATGTCCGGGAAAAAAATATCGTATCAACTGACCCTTATTGAACCCTTAACATAAATATTCTTCTTCCCATTAACCCATCGAAGAACACCCATTAGTCAAAATATTCTCCCTTATTAACACATTTAAGAAACATCTTGAAGCTGTACGATGGGATTGAACCTGTGTCTCTGGACTTTTCAGTGTAGTGAGCATCCCAGGCTCTGGTGTTCGATCCCATCGTTCGATTCAAGATTTTCTCACGTTCTTGTCATTTCGAACAAATTCACGAGGGCCGTGATGAGGGTTTCGAACCTGCGTCCGAGAGGAATCACAAGAATCATTAATTCTTGTAATTCCGTTCTAAATCACGCATTTTTTTGTTTTGTTTATATAACATCACCGAACTCCGGTGTGTTCGAATTTCAATATTTAGTTACAGACCCAACGTTTGTTCCAATTCCCACACGCAGTCACAGTCCCCAAGCGTGTTCGTATCTCGGTCTGTTTGGACGCTAGGCACTACAGTCTGGCGGATCTCTCATCAGCTCGGAGTTGGGAAATTAATTTGCTCCTCGCTATAGCCCAACCAATTAAGGCAACTCCTCTGTGCATCCGGCTTGACCCTTCACCCTGACATTTGTACCAACTGCCTTCAGTAGTCCGGGTCGAGCCAGCGACCCCTTGTTACATTCTCCTATGGGATGATTCTCCATTTGATGATGCGTCGGGGGTCGCGGCGCTCTGATCTCTCGCTAGACGAATTGATGAGTTGATGAGATGGTGTCATCTTTGGAGTCGATACAGCAGAGTCTGTTGACCGGGATATGGGGGTGTTTGGTGAGCCTGTACTCGTGTCTCAACACCTGTTGCTGTGTCTACACCTGTTGATGTATCTACACCTGTTGTTGTATGTACACCTGTTGTTGTATCTACACCTGTTGATGTATCTACACCTGTTGTTGTATGTACACCTGTTGTTGTGTCTACACCTGTTGTTGTATCTACACCTGTTGTTGTATGTACACCTGTTGTTGTATCTACACCTGTTGCTGTATGTACACCTGTTGTTGTATCTACACCTGTTGTTGTATCTACACCTGTTGCTGTATCTACACCTGTTGCTGTATCTACACCTGTTGTTGTATCTACACCTGTTGTTGTATCTACACCTGTTGTTGTATCTACACCTGTTGCTGTATCTACACCTGTTGTTGTATCTACACCTGTTGCTGTATGTACACCTGTTGTTGTATCTACACCTGTTGCTGTATGTACACCTGTTGTTCTATCTACACCTGTTGTTGTATGTACACCTGTTGTTGTATGTACACCTGTTGTTGTATGTACACCTGTTGTTGTATCTACACCTGTTGTTGTATCTACACCTGTTGTTGTATCTACACCTGTTGTTGTATCTACACCTGTTGCTGTATCTACACCTGTTGCTGTATCTACACCTGTTGCTGTATCTACACCTGTTGTTGTATGTACACCTGTTGTTGTATCTACACCTGTTGTTGTATCTACACCTGTTGCTGTATCTACACCTGTTGTTGTATCTACACCTGTTGTTGTATGTACACCTGTTGCTGTATGTATACCTGTTGTTGTATGTACACCTGTTGTTGTATGTACACCTGTTGCTGTATGTACACCTGTTGTTGTATGTACACCTGTTGTTGTATGTACACCTGTTGTTGTATGTACACCTGTTGTTGTATGTACACCTGTTGTTGTATGTACACCTGTTGCTGTATGTACACCTGTTGTTGTATGTACACCTGTTGTTGTATCTACACCTGTTGTTGTATGTACACCTGTTGCTGTATCTACACCTGTTGTTGTGTCTACACCTGTTGTTGTATGTACACCTGTTGTTGTATCTACACCTGTTGTTGTATGTACACCTGTTGTTGTATCTACACCTGTTGTTGTATCTACACCTGTTGCTGTATGTACACCTGTTGTTGTATGTACACCTGTTGTTGTATCTACACCTGTTGCTGTATCTACACCTGTTGTTGTATGTACACCTGTTGTTGTATCTACACCTGTTGTTGTATCTACACCTGTTGCTGTATGTACACCTGTTGTTGTATGTACACCTGTTGTTGTATCTACACCTGTTGCTGTATCTACACCTGTTGCTGTATCTACACCTGTTGTTGTATCTACACCTGTTGTTGTATCTACACCTGTTGCTGTATGTACACCTGTTGTTGTATCTACACCTGTTGCTGTATGTACACCTGTTGTTGTATGTACACCTGTTGTTGTATGTACACCTGTTGTTGTATGTACACCTGTTGTATGTACACCTGTTGTTGTATATACACCTGTTGTTGTATGTACACCTGTTGTTGTATGTACACCTGTTGTTGTATCTACACCTGTTGTTGTATCTACACCTGTTGCTGTATCTACACCTGTTGCTGTATCTACACCTGTTGCTGTATCTACACCTGTTGCCGTATCTACACCTGTTGCTGTATCTACACCTGTCACTACACCTACACTTCTCACTGTATCTACAGCCGCATGTGTAGCTACACGTGTCCTTGTACATGTGTTCACACCTGACTATCCTCCTCCCCCTACTCTTCGGTGCTCTGTATCAGAAGTTTCACACTTGCGACACGTTTGCACTTCTGTATCATTCTGTATTCTGTGTGCGAGATCACTGTAATTAATCATATATCATTATTAGTATTATTTTTATTAATTATAATAATAATAATTAGTAGTAGTAGTAGTAAACTGCATCACGACATGATAAAAGAATTGATCCAGCACGGAGATTCGAACCCTCATCAGCGCTTCTGTTGGATTTGTTCATTGAAATGTCGCGTTAATGAGCTTTCTCTGTGAAGTAATTATAATATTATTAATATAATGTCTTGTAAAGATTTTGGAAAGGTTTTTACATTAAATTTGTTGTTGTCTAAGTACATGGTAAAAGTTGTCTAATAGGTATATACGTGTTTCAGGTTCCCGTGCGTGCCTGGCGAAGTGCTTAGAGAGGACACCTGCCACGCCCTTGGCTGCTGCTACGACCTGCAGTTTGAAAGTGACACGTACGCCCCTAAGTGCTTCCATTCCGTGCCCTCCGAGTACGACTACATCGTGGTCTCGGAGCAGAACGCGACCCTGGAGCCCTCCTACCCGATCACCCGAAGGATGGGCGACGACGTGGAGCTAATCATCGAACTCAGCTCCCTAAGAAGCAAGACCAATATTGGGACTCCGGCATGGCCGCTGCAGGTGAAGCTTCAGCGTCAGGGCAACGACGTGGTGAGAATCCTGCTGTGGAGCCCCGAGAACGACACCTTCAGCAAAGACGACTTCGTACCAGAGGCCGGCAGCGACCACCAGTTGGAAGTCGTGGTCGAGGAACACGAGGGAGGAGATTTCAACATCACAATCATCCGCGTCTCGACCAACGAGACCGTGATGGAAACGGTGTTCGGTCCTCTCATCTACGGCGAGAAATACATGGAAATCAGCAGCAAAATCCCCACCTATCATCTCTACGGACTGCGAAAGAGAAATACGTACAGTCTGTCGCCGGATTTCGTCAAGCGCGAGCGACTCTCATTCTATAACCGCGAGGGAGAAGTTGGCAACGGATCCACCTACGGCTCCCACCCATTCTTCATGAACTTCGAGAAAACTGGGAAGATGTTCGGTGTTTACCTCAAGAACTCCGGTCCAGTCGAGATCGACTTCGTGCCCATCCCCGCTGTGGTCTTCAGGGCGGTGACCGGCACGCTGGACCTGAGGGTGATGGCCGGACCAGCGCCCCGTGACATCAGTCGACAGTATACTAACATGGTGGGACGACCCGCCTTCCCGCCATATTGGGCCCTAGGTTACCACCTCTGTAGGACCACCTCCAACGACACTGAGTACGAGTGAGTATAACTACCTTGTCACAGTAAGAGTAACTACCTTATCATAGTACGAGTAACTACCTTGTCACAGTATTAGCGAGTAATCACCCCATCAGAGCACTAGTAATCACTTCATCAACCACGCTCCACAGGACACAGCGACTATCAGGACAGACCATCAACATATGGACAACAGCACAAATAAATACTTGATTTGTATATTTTTTTAAGGGCAAAAAAAGATATATAAAATTAGCCCTAACCTTTACCAGGCCTAATATAAGCAATATTGTGCTGTCGTTCAACATTTAAACAATGTTAGGCCTGATATACGTAATTTTCGGTCTAATTTAGTGAATGTATATATATATATATATATATATATATATATATATATATATATATATATATATATATATATATATATATATATATATATATATATATATATATATATATATATATATAATATAATATATAATTATAGTTCGATATATATATTATATAATAAATATATCGAACCTGCGTCCGATGCTTTCGGAGGCAGGTTCGAATCCTCGTCACGGCCCTTGTGGATTTGTTCATTTGATGCATCACGCTATTGTGATTTCTGTGTGACGTCTCTGTGTATTTACTGTATCTAGAAATGGACTAAAAGGAAGTGGACTTTTCATGACTGGATCATTAGCCTTACTAGAAGTGAACTTACTTGAAGTGTATTAACTAGGTGTGGACTGATTATAAGTGCCCCGCTTCTTACAGGTCGGCGTTCCATCCCCGACCCTCCAAGTGATTGGACACCATTCCTCCCCCTTGTATCTAGCCTAAATCCTTAATTATCCTCATGTCCCTACCAAGTGCTGTCAACCACCTCCCCCTGGACACTAGTAAGGGGAAAGGGGGGGGGGGTAGAAATAGCCTATGGTACTCTATCCCTTTGAGATGTAATTTTTTTTGTCTAAATAAACATACTTGAACTTGAACTTGATGGACTGTAACCACCTCGTGTCTCTCTCTCTCTCCCTCAGCGCCGTCGTGGACATGATGGAGACACTGCAGATCCCCTACGAGAGTGACTGCATCGATACCCGCCTCAACTACCCGGACTCCTACGGGCCCCTGGCGGACACCACGCTTAAGAGGATCCGTGAAGTAAAGAAGGCCGGACGGAGGTTCCTTCTCGTTCAGTACCCCTTCGTCCCCGTCGGCAGCGCTGCCTTCAATGCCTCGCGCGACTTCCTCCTGAAGGTGGGGGTGAAGGAGGAACTCTTTCCGTGTTTCTGCTTTATTTAAAAGTAGTCACGTTAATGTGGTTTTTAGGGTCGAGCTCTAGCTCTTGGTTGTTGTTGTTGTTGTTTTAGATTTAGCTACTCAGACCGAAGTGTCCGTGTAGCACGGGCTATGGTGAGCCCCGTAATGCTCTTGGTCGGGTTTCCTTCCAGCCGTCGATTATTTAATACAGTGAGAGAAACTGGGACTATCTACACTGTTCAAGACACTTGGACTGGTTGGTACAGCGACGGCCTCGCTTCCTGCAGGTCGGCGTTCGATTCCCGATGATCCAAGTGGTTGGATACCGTTGATCCTTCACTCTATCCCATATCCCAGCTATTCTCTCCTCGTATCCCTTCCAAAGGTGCATATAGCCACACTCTTGCTTAGCCCTCTCTGTTGTTATAGATTCAGCTACTCGGAACAAGTTCCAAGCAGCACGGGCTATGGCGAGCCCGTAACTTACCTAGCACAGGAGCGGGACAAGTTGCACGGGCTATGGTGAGCCCTGCGTTGCTCTCTCTCTCTCCTGATAACGACCTTATGCCCTATACTCCCTCCTCACTCCACAGCTCAACTCCACGACGCCCTACTTCGGCAGCGTGGATGGCCAGCCTGTGGGCTACCCTGATTACTTCGACGAGTCCACCTTCAGTCACTGGCTGGGACAGGAAGCCGGCGACGGGGGCCTCTACGACCTGGCAGACGGGGTGCTCCTTCTCCGGAACACTCCCTTAAATGAGGCGCAGCTCAATTACACCGTCTGGAATGGTGAGATGCCTGGAGGCGCTGGGGCATGCTGGGAGGCGCTGGGGCATGCTGGGAGGTGCTGGGAGATGCTGAGAGGCGCTGGGGGATGCTGGGAGGCGCTGGGGCATGCTGGGAGGCGCTGGGAGGCGGTGGGACATGCTGGGAGGCGCTGGGGGATGCTGGGAGGCGCTGGGGGATGCTGGGAGGCGCTGGGGCATGCTGAAAGGCGCTGGGACATGCTGGGAGGCGCTGGCGGGATGCTGGGAGCCGCTGGGAGATACCTGGAAACACTAATTGCACGTTGCTCGTGTTTATCTCGTGATCATTATTTCTGGAAATGTCATTATCCTCACTGCATCGTCTCATTGCACCGTGAGTCTGAGTGAATGGAATATGCGAATAATTCCACCATTCAGTGAGGTTGATGCAATCCTTCTGAACCAGGTCACAATTTCTAACTAACTCAATATGAATCATTTTGATTGGCCCACTTCTAAAGTTCCACTTTAGAAGTGGAACCAATCAATATCCGCTACACCGAATCATCTCCTATCCTATCGTATCCTAAACTAAACCAATCCAACCCAGCCTAACATAACACGAACCTAACCAAATCTAATGAAAATAAGAGATCAAATAAGTTTATACAGTGTGGATATAGTGTTTTATTCAGTGTTTTTTGTAAAACAAGAGATCACACTAACGTGATGCATCAAAATCCTTGTGGAACCTTGTGGAACAAATCCACAAGGGCCGTGACGAGGATTCGAACCTGCGTCCGGGAGCATCCCAGACACTGCCGTAATCGACTGAGCTAAGACAGGGTAAAAGAACTGAAACCGAAGTTCTACTGAACTTACTGGATCCCGTAGCCTCTCCGAGGCACAAATCAGGATTTTACACAACTCCCCCCTGCACCCGAGCTATGT